CTGGCGACTCTCTACGTTACCACAATAATACCAACTTCAGCACTAAAGACAAAGACAATGACAAGTGTGTGGACAATTGCGCACAACTTCGCCAAGGTAAAAACAAACACCCACCACACAATATTCTGCTGTGGGAACGAACTTTGTAACTTAACCTTACTGGGTTTCTTTCACAGGTGGATACTGGTACAACTGCTGCACTGACTCAAATCTAAATGGTGTGTTTCACCGCTATGGGTCACATACCAAGAATTCAGACGGCATCTCTTGGTACGGATGGCACGGACCAAACTACTCACTGAAACGCGTGGAGATGAAGATCCGACCACAGAGCTTTGTACCATAAAGACTTGTCAAAGCCAAATTTATGTTCCTGCTCACCATCAAACCTTGGCATCAATGGATCCACATAATCTACAGCTTAAACTGGGCAAACTTTTTCAGGGGGAATGCATTTGTATAACAGAATATTAGGACTGAATATGTGATGAAACGATGTATGATTGTAAATAGCATTTTATACATGGTATTTATCTCTTAAATATTTTCTTTTCTTTAGCTTTTTCTAGAGGATTTTATGCACATGATCATTGAAAGCAACAAGACTAAACAACAAGCTAATGTAAGCCATTCACACAAAATGCTCAATGTACAATCACAAACAATTTGACAGTTCAGAGACATTATAGTAAATTCACTGGTACAGTAAAATGAACTGTGTAAAAAGTAAAATATTGGATGATTAATAAATTGTATATTTAAAAAACCCTTTTTGCTTTACCTAAATGATGTGTGTCTGCTTTGGTACAAAACGAACAAGAAGGTAGTCACAACCATGGGAGTAAAACTTGAAAAAACACAAAATACACACAACATTATGAAATTACATTGAAATTGCTTCCAACTAGGAGTACTAGAAGTACTTGTCTTGACCTTCAAGAACGGCCACTCTATTCACTTGAGCACTATATCAAGCAGTTGTTTTAATGGAAATTGTCATAATTTATTTACCTTCACTTCATTGCAGACCCTTAATGAGGAATTTCTTAATCTTGCAGGTATATTTATAAAGGACAACCCAGAAAAAAATTCTCAAAAATTCTCAAAAAAAAAAAAAGTCTCATCACAAGTCACGGAAAACAAACAAATCAGATATTTTCTCTAACTTTCTCAGCATTTCTTAGTTTCTTTGGTCTTTACCACACAAAAGATTATTATTATGATAAATCACAAACAAGACAAAACAATACAAAGGACCCAAGAAACAGAACACAATCAGTACCAGGCCCGAGAACTGGCTCAGTCTCCAAAGTTTAGCTGAAGTTCCATGAGAAAACAGCTTATTACTAATTCAGAGTAGAGATCGACCGATATATCGATTTACCGATATTTTTCCCGATATTTAAGCATTTTACCATAATCGGATATCGGTTTTGTAATTTCGGATTCGCCGATAAACGCCGCCATCTTGTGGGTGTTTTGAGAATTGCGCGCAGGATCGCCATTGCGCGTCTGAGGGGAGACGAGACAACAACAACGGCATGCAGGTACTTGATATAGTTGCTATAGTTAGTAAACTTTATTTAACATAACAGCCATTTATGCACAAATTAGATGCATTATATAAATGCCTGATATGTAAATAATACAGCCATGAATGAGCGCATGTTGGAAATAAAAGCGCTGAATTTAATTCTCTCTCTGTTGTATATTTGCTCATCATTAGTCTCGTGAAGCCGCTTTCATATTGCTGGTTGATGTGGTTGATGCTCAGGAAATGCAAAATTTCAGGAAAACCCTTTTATTGTTGTAATATGAAGATTAAATTTAACATAAAAGACTGCTAATTTTCAACACTTAAAAAAAAAAAAAAAATTTCTGCATATCGGTTATCGGGCACTTAAACATGCAAATAATTGGTATCGGTAATAAAAAATCATTATCGGTCGATCACTAATTCAGAGATGCACTATTTAGACAAATGTGGACCACACTCCGTAACAAACACAGACAAACACTGGCATACGCCAAAATGCACATTCTAAATAGCAGCCACAGAAACAATATTAAAACAATATTGAATCTACCTGGACCACTAAACAATAAATATCACCAACAATCATGAGACAACAATTTAACATAAAAAATGTGCCCCTCTGACAACATAAATGTGCACTTTCATAACACTGGAACAGCACAGAGCCATGTAATGAACACCTAGGTGCTGTCTGACATAGTCATTCTTCAAAAAGTTGTAATAAGGATTGTAAAGAAGACGGCCCTGGTAATGTAAGTAATTTATTCTGACCATGAACTGACTATTTCTGACCATGAACCAGCAATTTCTCTAACCATTCCTCTGTACAATACAAATCAGGCAGTGAGTGAGTCTTGGGTGTGCCGTCTGCGGGAGGGGAAGATTCATTCCATAGATGCATACGGTAAGGGTTAGACGAGAAGTCGCTTGTTCACAATCACAAGCTTCCTGACGAGACATCTGATAATTACTGATTCCATTCTGAAATGTACTGAGAGTTTAAATTTGTAGATAATGCAAAGACAAATCAATTGGTACCTTTTCTAACTAAATTAACAGATGCCTTTTCAGTAATAATTTCAAATACTGTTTATGTTTTGGAGTAATCAAAACTTCCCAAAGAGATCTTGGCTCAATCCAGCAAATTAAAGTCACTGCTCTAAAATGATCTCAAGAAAGCGAGGAATGTGACCTGAGACACTGCATACCATTAGACTGAAAAGATCTCTTTAACCACCAATCAACAAAAGGGAATCCACCCTAATTTTTCCAAAATTAAAGTAGAAAAACAAATGCAGATCTAACTAAGGCCTCTGCTAAGACTGAAGTGTGTGGAGGCAGCTGGGATGCATTAAAATGATCTTACTTTAAGCACTCCTCAAGTCCTCTGAAATTAAAAACAGCTCCATGGGAGGGCCGAGCTAGATACAGAATAGATTAAAAGAGGAAAGAGTCAAATGAAAAGGCTGGAGAGAAAAAAAAAGATCTAGGACTCTGTAAGTTTGCAGTGTAAAATAAACAGGTGGATGGAAACAATGATGAGAGCAGATGTCACTAAAACACTAGGATAAGCTCATAATTAAATGAAAATGAAGATTAAGATTAAGGAAATCTTACTTTTTTCTAAGTCAAAAATATCTAGCTATATGCTACTCCATTAAAAAAAAAAAACATGTTGTTCTAGTTTTGTAGAGTAGGTTGGGACCAAACAATGACTCCAAGGCAAATTAAGTCTAGTTCCCTTTCAGTCGGTCACTCTCGACGTCACGTCGGATGACCGACGAAATTGGGATCTCGTTTAGATCATGCAATCCACTTGCATTATGTGAACTCACAGAAATGGATTATTATTCTAAAAATCTCTGTTTGTGTTTATCTGAAGAAAGAAAGTCATATGCCTCTGGGACGGCTTGAGTGTGAGTAAATAAGAGAATTTTCATTTTTGAAATTTTCATTTTTAAAGATGGTTCACGGTTCACCAGTCTTGACATTATAAACAGAAGAGCAGACGAGGAGAATGCACCACCATAAATTACACACTTTTCTAACTACACATCATTACCCTTGCTAAATTTATCACTGTGCTTCATATTAAATCTATAGGGGAGATCTATTGGAACTAGCTTTTAATATAGCTGTCAAATGCACATTTGCCAGGCTATGAAAAAAAAAGGGAAATATTATTGGCTTTTTAAAAATCTTTGATATGTCCTGCCCAGACTAAAACATCAAGGAAAACTGTGCTAATCAGGCAAATCAATAAAAGATGCATCACTTAGCATCTTTTATTGTTTTTGGACATCATCACTTACTTTTATTCTTGAAATACTACATCAGATAAAAATTTATTTATTTATACTTTCAACAGACCACACTAGTTAATGTATCTGTGAAGGACATTACACCTACACCGTTATGGAGGAATCAAGGGGAAACTCAACTCCCAAAGCACCTTCCAGTAATTCATAGACCACATTTAAAATGAAACCTGAAGTCGTCCCAAAACAAGCAATCAATGCAGGAACATTGGAGGAAACTTGAGACACTTGAGACATGGTTTGGTGATTAAATTTTTAAAACTGTTGAGTTTTAAAAATCTTATAAACAGTGTAAGGGGACATTTGTAGGTGTGTGTGGTTAAAAAATGAAAACTGAGTGCATAATTATGTTTTTGCTGAATTTTAAGAGAAAGTCTAGCTTTGGAGACCAAACCCCTATTGATGGTTATTGTTTCTTGTCATGTCTAAAGTATACCTTTATATAAATGAGCCATATGGCATACACTGCCGTTCAAAAGTTTGGAATCAGTAAGATTTTTAATGTTTTATAGAAGTCTCTTATGTTCATCATGGCTGCATTCGTTTGACCAAAAATACAGAAAAAACAGTAATATTGTAAAATATTTTTACCATTTAATCAATGGTTTTCTATTTTAATATGCTTTAAAATAGAATTTATTTCTGCAATGCAAAGCTGAATTTTAATCAGCTATTACTGCTGTCTTCAGTGCCACATGATCCTTCAGAAATCATTCTAATATGCTGATTTATTATCAATGTTGGAAACAGTTGTGCTGCTTAATATATTTTTTGGACCCTGTGATACTTTTTTCAGGATTATTTGATAAATAAAGTTAAAAAGAACAGCGTTAATTTAAAAATATTTTTTTAAAATAACAATATAAGTCTTTATTAACACTTTTTATAAATTTAACACATCCTTGCTGAATAAAAGCATTAATTTCTTAATAAATTATATTTTAAAGTATATCAAAATAGAAAACCATTGTTTTAAATTGTAATAATATTTCACAATATAACAATTTTTTCTGTATTTCTGATCAGCCTTGATGAGCAGAAGAGACATTACAAATCTTACTGAACCCAAACTTTTGAACAATGTATTTTTCTCCAAAATATATCTGCATGGCTCCCTCAGACTTAAGAAATGTTTTGATTCCTACCTGATGAGGGATTCTAAAATGAGTGGTGAAGGGCCCTTTTGAAACTCAAGTTCCTTGTAGTGCAGGGCCTTGGCGTAGGCCCGACATTTAGCAGCTCTCTCCCCCAGCAGAACAATTCCATTGTCATCTCTCAAGGGAAGTGGGCCCTAAGTAGGAGAACAAAAAAAAAAGAAAAGAAAAACTTTAGATACAGAAGAGAAGAACTGAATGAAATAGCATATGATACGGGTCAGAACGGAGCAGAACAGAGCATCTAGCTCAAAAAAAGTCAATATAACTGACCCTCACTGCGTTAACTCTTCACTTCACGGCTCTCTTAACTTTACTGCCCATTTGCTAATTTACCGCTGAATGGTGTGAGCTTTATTTACTGAGCTGGAATAAAACTGAACAAATGCACCATTCATCCGGACTTCAACACAATGAGATCATACTAAATACTAGGGGTGCTCCGATTGATCGGCTACCGATCACTATCGGCCGATAATCACGTTGGGATGTTTGATTGGCGGTCTCTAAAAAGGCAGATCTCAAAAAACCGATCTCAAGCTGATGACGCTGCCGTGAGACGTAATTTCACAAACAGCGTGAGTGAATCACCACTTGGGTGCGCGCTCTCTCTCTCTCTCAAAATACACAAATGGCTTCAAATCACCACACATCGCGTCTGTCTATAAGCGAGCTGCACGCTGCACAGTTGACACAGGAATTGTCACTTGCACAATCAAGGCAGTGTCACATCGTCACTAAAGTTTATAAATTGCATTACTTTTTAATTCTTGCCAGTGTTTAATCATTCAGCGCTCGCGCGCTCATGCACACCTGCAGCGCACACACATAATGCCAAGTTCACATTATATGTGGTGCGTATTTTTTCCGCGCTCATGTTAACGGATTAAAGTGTTCACACTGCACACGGTTGCAGTCCGGCAGTGCGTTCAGGAGCGGTGCGTCTGCAGCAGTGCAGAGATCGTTTCCGCACCGAGTCTATGTTTGCTGTGCTTCAAGCGCTGAATTAAAGTAGAAAGAGCACTTTTAGATAAAGAAGGCAATAATAGATGGCACTCGTGGAGGTAGGAAAACAAAGTTCTTTATGAACCGCAGGATTGCTTGTAATAAAGATTTAAATGCAAAAGGAAAGGCAGAAGAGCTGACTAGTTCTGTCAATGGTAAGTTTGTGATAACGTAAGAAAAGTTGTCAAGTTGTTGCTTGAGCAACTTAATATATAAATCTAGAAGTAAATGCAAAAGTAAAAAGCATTGAATAATGTGTTGCTTATATTTATTGTTTAAACATGTCTGTGAAAGATTGCAGAATGCAGAAAAAGCATTTTCAGTGACAATGTTTGGATTTGAAATCAAAATAATGGAAACATTTTGTGTTTGTGGTAAATAGCCACGGATCAGTAGCGGACTCCTGTGTGAAAGCTGCTTCCACTCTCACAAGAGTCACCTAAGAGGGGAATTCCCCACATTTTCAAAAATTAAATTCAGGCCCTGAATAAATGTCTAAAAATCCTGATTGGAGTAT